TCTGTGCCGGACTTGTTGGATCGTGACTTTTACCACTGGTGTGAAACATCTCACATCAAGGCTGAGTTGATACCCAGAAGGATGAGCCACCTGCCCCAGTCAGAGGTGCCACATCTCCGTAGGCACACTCGCCGTCCCACATCAACATCAACAGATGAAGGTTCTCTGTGGTGAATGGAAACAAAGTGACCAAATCAAGCACAAGGTGGGGCTAGAGTAATGAATCTGCAAGAAAAGCATTGTCATCACAAGAATCGAGGCTTCTTGTCGTTCATCTGACCAATCTCAGTATCACCTCCAGAGGCGCAGTTGGTGATGTCTGCAAGACTCTGTCCAAAACCGTTGGTTTAGATCCGCATCAATTGAAGTAGGTTATCCAGGGTTGGCCTCGTTGGGAGTTGTGATGCCATTTGTCCTTCAGTGTCGGCTGTTTGTGATATGACTGGAACAGAGTTTGTGAGTCACCGGCTAAACATCGAGAAACGTATCCTTCGAGAAGACATATTCAGCGGCACAAAACAACACCAGCCTATAAACTCGCCCTATTCGGCTCGAATTGCGAGCACGTACGGACTCCCCGAAAGGTGACGAGTTTGGACCTGAAGATGGCACAGCATTGGGGGCGCTCTCAACAAAAGTTGATGAAGGATAGTCTACGGGGAAAAGCCGACCTGAAGCCCTCGTTGAGCCGCTGAGCACCCGCGCCACAACGTCGAGAGAGTATGTATTGCACTTTCGTAACGGCGGCGGAAAGAGGCTTGGGGGCGCCAAGTCAGCGACTATCCACAGGTCGAACCAGGGGCAATTGGCCGTAGATTAGCCGCCGTTGGCTGTTTTGGTTTGAATGGGCAGGTAGATAATATAGCCAAGGCTTTTTTTCTTCTTGGTTTGTGCGACCAGGCGGAATCACCAGGGGAAGAATCAACCGAAGCCTGGCTGAGGTTGCTATTCCTGGTTGCAGATTATCATTTCTTGATGTTTGTTTCCTGCGTGATCCCAGTGTGCTGAGCACGTGACCTGGTCCATCCTGCGCCTTTTGCATCGTGTTCTCCAACTTATATGTTCACATCCTACATCATCACTGGACCATCTAAAGGCTGTGCTCATTGACAGTGGACATTATATCAGAAGTCTTGTCTAATTCAATGGCACGGGTCTATGACAGGCCTCGGTCGTATGGCTCAAAAGCGGTGCATCTTCTCTGGACTCACCTGGAGACATACACATGGGCGACCTGGGCTTCAATCCTTACGTCTTCTTTGTGGGGATAAACTTACGCTTGCTAAACCCTGTCCCGCAGTTCTTCGGCAGATCCTGGAGGCCTCTTGAGATTGTTCTCGTGGTCAGCAGCAATCTTCCACATAACTGCCAAGAGGACCATCAGAATGGTTGTCCCTGTCATTTGCGTCAATCGTCTTAGAAAGGCTTCGAGGAATTGGAAACGCTAAACCCCATACTTGATTCCCTCCCCTGTTTTTCTTCATTTTTCGAGAATCTACTGTGGTTGATGCAGCTGAGGGCTAACCGCCAATTCGTCATGGATAGTCTAATTGATAGTTGGAGCTCGTGTCTTGGCTTTAACTTCCTGGTCGCTGATCACCCGAGGCTGAGCGGTTGTTGTCGGCCCCAGTCTGATGCTTGTGTGAGGGACAACAACAAAACTATGGATACCTGCACAACGACATTATTTGACCATAATAGCGGGCACTGCGCAAAGAAATATTGGGCAAAGGCTTGGCAGAGTAGGACGATACACGCGATGATCATACTGGGTCCGGCAATAGGGATAAGTCCAGCTCCCTCGGATAGTTGGTATCTAGGCCAAGAGACGCAAAGGGGAAGGGATGATATTCCATCTTCCAATAATGACGTCTTGGCCCCTCCCTATCTGGCACTATCCATATCGCTCTAATCATGTGAAGGACCTTGTGCAGCATTCCTGATCCACTTTCCGACGGGAAAATTGCAAATGAGATGTTTGACGGTTTGATCCCGGCTCCTCTGCTTAGTTGTCCTGCAAGCGAGACGCGATAACTCACTGGATCGGCGTCTTTCGGTGGATTGAATATGATCCCCCGACAGTAGCCCCTCCTTCGTGGATTCAGTCTTGGGTGGTATCTTCACATGTATATAAAGGGTCGCCGAATCTCGTTCCGGTTTGTCTTCTTGATCATTCCTTAGACATCGTCCCATCTCTTTCTCTGGGTTTCTTGCAAGTCTGCCTGACCGGTCAAGCCTATATATTTCCATCCCCATCTCCATTTTAGCCACTTGTCGTGAGCACGCTGCTGTCATCTGGCCTAAACACAATGTATACCTACACTCCCACCAGCAAGTTCCTCGTCCTCTCTCCTGTCCAGTCTCGTCCGGAGCAGACCAGCAAATTCCTTGTCCTCACACCCACCGAATCTGGTCCTGAGTATGAGCTTGGCGCATCATCTCCCGCCTCTCCTGATATTCGGGACCGTTCAGACAGCGTCAGCACCGATGAGTCGCAGATTGAAGCTACATTTTCTCCCTTCGCTGGTGGCTTTCTCTACCTAGGCCACGGTACCAGACCTAAGCCAGTGAACGTTTGATGAATTCACTTAAACAACCCTACCACTCTGACAACACTATGGTTCAATCGCGCTGGACACGATACCAATTCATCAGCACGGTCAGCTGATCAACTCTGAGACACTCTAGGCGTTCCTTGGTCTTAATTTTAGCGCTTTGTGATGGACAAATACGGCCCAGTGAAGGGTCCACGGGGGGTCTTGTTCCAGGTTCTTTCCGGACGCATTTTTGCTTTTTCTACTTCTTTCCAGTTTGCATCATGCTTTGCAGAGACAAGCCATTACACATTCCATCACATCATCATTGTGTATCTGCTCATCATTATCGCTATTTTGAAGGAAGGGGGGAAGTCGACGACCGACCGCCAAGCCTTGTGTGCAATCTGATAATGGCCCAATTGGGAAGAATCGATCATCCATGTCTCACAGCCAAGCAATGGCAAACTATCTGGATCACTGCCAAGAAGCACTCATCCCTTGTTTTGTACTCCGTAGATAGTAGTCCTCCCTCTGTAGTGGTCTAGAATGTCCACCTATCCTCTCTGAAAAACGGAGTTGCAAGACTGAAAGCGAGTAAACCAAAATACTAATATCGAGGAAGTAAGCCCACCAGATCTTGATCTCATCTAAAAAGTGGGATGCGGCATGCAGCAGCAGCAGCCTGCAGTCTAGCCTGTGCCCGTCTTCTCACCGGTCATTCGAATCTGATCTAAGCTTCTTTCTAGAAGAGGGAAAGGGGGAAGATCTAGACTCCACCACGGGATAATCCCCCACCTCGTCTCTCCTCTCCTCCGTACATTCCTTTCCCCCGGTGAACGGAGCGGAGCGTCAGTATTCAGCAAAATGCTGTACCACAATCAGAGTCATAATGACCAGAGTCGCTGTTACGAGCATCCAGTGCAAGGGATAAATACATACATAAGTAGTACGTAGATACGTAGAAAACATTGGCATTCATTCCTGCCAAGGTCCTCGTCCTCGGGCGATTCGGTCCTCGCAGAATAAGCACTACCTGATTATTCCTTAGATTCGAGAACATTCGTCCATCATTGACCGAGAGACGCAGATACCTGCTCCAGAAGTCTTACGGTAGATTAGACCCTCTCTTTCTCTGCAATAACGTTTGCATTCATAGGCCCCCTGGATAGGATAGGGAGAGCAGAGTACACTGTCTATTGATAAGGAGCGCTCGAGTTCGATGCACACAGCGCGCAGACTAGGGGCGATCCTCTTGGCTTGCATCTTGGCTTGACCCCCTTTCCTGCTGTCTACAGTATCTACTCAGAAGGGTGGACGACGGAAGTACGGGGGAGGGTAGTCTGTATGAAGAATGTGTATCCAGGGATATTTCGTGATGGCTATCGGTACTCTGTAAGGCTTTATCATTGCATCTGTGGCAGACCAATGATCACATTATTCCATTTGTCACTAGCTGATGGATCAAGGCTACACTGACTCGAGATATATTCTTGCTCAGGCTCAGTCATATGCCCTACGGACTAGTGTTTCTTGCATTTAAAGGAGTGTAGTACTGGCCATTCATACGCAGACTAGAGCACATCTAATCAACGATACAAGTGTCGAAACAATAACCCTACCAACGACAAGATGAGTATGGTGCAATCAATATACCTCAAGGGTGATGATGTTATATTACTCTGACATGATCCTGGACAAGAGAGCTAGTAGTCATCCCAACCTCACCACTTAAGAAGATCCCCTGACTGTGTAGGAGCATCATGACCACCGGAAAGTAAACTAAAGAAGCGAAGCGAAAAGCCAACCTCGCGATGAAAAGTAGGATCAGACACAGGATCAATTTACACTTAGGGGCTATAGTAACAGAGGAAAGGAAACAAAAATTTGGACACAGGAAAAGGAAATGTATTCTTGACAAAGGAAATAAAAGGGGAAATAAAATAAAAAAGGGGGAGAAAAAGCGCCATATGCTAGATAAAGGCTATGTATGTATGCGGGACAAATGGTCGCTGGACAATGCGAGGACAAACCCATGCGGCAAGCAACAGAAGCAGACAACAAGCTGGGTATCAAAGGGGTATCCAAAGGATCATACTGCTCTCTTGCGATGTTGAACTTCTTCTTAGAGCCTGGTAGACGCAATTCCTCCTTCTCGTATGTTTCAAAGCTTGGCCTGAGTGTCGGCTTGAATCATCCATCCTGTTCTGATGGGTGACACAGCTTCTCGCGTATCCGCCTTCGGACTCGCCGCACAGAAAGTCATGGGGATATTTTGCAAGAATCTCGATTCCCGAGAAGAAATGTAGATGAACAAGGAAGAAAGGGAAAAAGGGGAGCAATTAGAATTTAGACCGGACCGGCTTGGTCTTGCCACGGTTCGGTTAAGAATGGTGGTAACAGTTCGCGCGTGGCAACGAACGAGAAAACCGAAAGGACTTAATTCACCGGAAGAGAAGACCTGAATCAACGGTCATCACCGGCCCTGGATTTAGCTCTTCGACGGAAAAAGTCCATGACTTTCCTGGCCGCACCGGAGCTGCCGGAGTGAGAGGGGTCTCGTTCGTACTCGTAAGCATCGGCAAACTTCCTATTGTTCTTCTGCAGAACGTTGGGGCCTCTTCCCGCCCGGCCGGCCTGCATTGACGGCCGGGGGTCATTGGTATACTCATCATAGTAATTCGGTGTCGAGTGACTGGCGTATTGATATCCGTATTGATGATCGTTGTCATTATGGTATACGTGCTCTGCTGATGTGCTGCTGTACGAGGTAGGTTGGTACGCCGCGGATTGCAAACCGTGCAACTCCGCGAATTGTTGATCAATACGGGCTTGGTAGTTGACCGGCTCCTCTGAGGCCAGTACCCCCTCTCCTGGTCCATCAGACACCATACCCATGGCATCTTGCGTTCCGTAGCTGGTGGCGCGCGCTCGAGGGCGGATAACTCCGGCCGAGGGACGTTGCTGGACTCGCTGATCAGTGGAGCGACTCGTTTGGGATTCCTCTTCGGGAGTCTGCGATCGGCTTGAAGAAAAACCCTTGAGGGAGAAAGATGCTGGTAGCAAGGAAAACCGGCGTGGTCTATTCTCCCCAACAGTTTCGCTCATCTTCCGGTTAGATCCATATTGAATGGACCGTCGGGAATCCATAGAGACTCGGATTTCCTCTCCGGCAAATGGATCCCTCATGCTTGTTGGGGGATACCGCTTGCTGGGCTTCTGACGAGGAGCGGTCTGTGTTCCACGACCGCCAAAGATGGATCCTGATCGCCCAAAGAGCTTTTCGCCAATGCCCGAGACCGTATTGGATCTCTTATGACCCTTGGGTGGTTCCTGCCGAGGGGTGGTGTTGAATTTGGCTGGGAGGGCCTGTGTGCTTGGACGTCCGATCGACATGGCAGCGTGTTGCGAGGAATCCTGAGGGATTGGCGCCGAGATCACATATTGCTTGCTCTTCGGTTGGGCAAGGCGACCCTGTGCATTGGTCGCCGCAACAGTAGGAGCCACAGGCTGTCCGTATGAACCCCGAGAGGGCAAGCGACCAGTATTGAACGAGGCCATTGAGGCGCCCGTCGTAGGCCGCGTGGCTTGCGTCGGAGGCATTGTCGTGTGCGTTCCCGTGAGGGCGGTGCTGTCCGAGGTCGACCGAGGCAAATGCCCTGGTGCAGGCGGCACCGAGCCAGCGGGTGCCTTGGTTTCTCCAGCCCGTGTTGAGCGCTGCTCCATATGAACACCCGAGGGTAGAGCGCCTGCTTGTGTGTTCGCCGCCGCATCTCGACTGCCGGGCCTTGCGGCTGGAAGGACGGCTTCCACTTCGGATGGCTTCGCGTTCGGGGATTCGGGGGCGGAAGGACTTTCTCCTCTTGCTGTCTGAGACTGGGGGGCAACATATTCGACCTGCACCGTTCGCCGTTTTGTGTCCCGAGAAGTCTTTGACCGATCGACGGACGGCTCTTGGGAAATGTCTCCGGATTGATGCACAAGCCCTCCAACAGTAGGTATCGAGCTCTGGTATGCTTTCGGAGGCTCTCTGACGGAGGCACTGCGAGCCAGCGCTGGGGCTTCCCTATGACTTTCTGCAAAACACGAAGATAAGTTAGCGTCAGGCTCCAAGAGCGCGTGTTTGGAAACTGACCAGGAGGAACTGTCGTGTCGGCAATGTCCGCAACTTTGGTTGTGCTGCTCGTAATGTGAGACACAACATGCGAAAACTCGCTGAGCCAACTGTGACGAGCCACTTCGAAAAGGTCTGCTCGTTTGCGCGGGTCGGGCACCAATATCCGTCTCAAAAGATCGCGAGCATGTGGTGTCACGTATTCCGGGAACGTCAGCGGTGTACTAACAATATACTTGTACAACAGATTGATGTTATCGCCATCTGGATTTGCTGGATCATCATCGAAAGGCAAATAGCCAGCCAACATAGCATACTACCATATGCGTTAGCGTGTCATCCAGAGGACAAAGAAAGTCTGTCCCAACTTACCAGGATTACGCCGCAGCTCCAGACGTCCACTTTGCGCCCTGTGTACAGAGAATCACTCACCACCAGTTCGGGGGCCGCATAACACGGGCTTCCGCAGCTGGTCTGCATCAGGTCGCCCCGTCTCATGCCTTTGGCGTTAGGCTTGTCCAAGCGCATTCGCTTCACAAACTCCTTATTGGTGAGATTGTATTCGATCTCCTCGCCCAACTCGTCGCTTGGGTCAAATGTATTCGCGAAGCCGAAATCCGTGATGATGATGTTGCGGTTGCGATCCAGGAGCAAATTTTCCAGTTTGAGATCTCGATGAACAATGCCTTTCTTATGAAGATACCCCACGCCTGATACGAGCTGGGCGAACAGGCGCCGGGCCGAATTGTCCTTGAGGTAACGATTGTTCAGAATGTGGTCAAAGAGCTCTCCACCTGATGCATATTCCATAATAATGCCGATGTGGCGATCGGTCTCCACCATTTCATGGAGTCGAACGATATTCGGGTGATGGAGATCGCGAAGAATGGAGATTTCTCGGTAGATCTTGGGCAGCCGATTAGGATTAGATCCGAGAGACTCCCTCCGAATCAGCTTGATGGCAACCTGGACGCTGCCATCTTTCTTCCAACCCAGCTTGACCTTTCCAAACTCGCCCTCCCCGAGAGTTTGCCCAAGGATATACTGGCCGAACGTAGTCTCTTTGCGCTTGATCGTGTTTTCGTTGTAGTCGTGCCGACTGCGTAGTCCGCCGCGCCCTCCGTCATCCACACCCTCGCTGCCGACCAAGGCGAGCCCGGATGGCGGAGCACTGTCGCTAGAAGGCGATATCGACGCTTCTGCTTGCCGTGCTTGCTCCCTCATGATGTCCACTGAAGGGTCACTCACCACCACTTGGTTGATAACTGTACTGGACTCCTTTACCAAAGTTCCCAGACTGGGGATGGTCTCCATCATCTCCTCCGAGCGTGAGTCGACCGCTGAGGATGATTCTGCCTGGAGTCGCCTCGATCCCTTTCCGGACGGTTCCCTCGTCGGTTCCTCAGACGGGTGAGCTGCTGAACGGTGCGAGCGAGGCTCGTCACCTCTTCTCTCGCGGTGGCCGGTGCCTCGATCGTCAGGTTTGCTCTTGTTGCGCCGCGAACTAGTGACTCTTTCGCCGGAGGATGATGTAGCGCTTGAACCATGTTGACTCCGATGAGTCGAAGATGTCCTCGGCGGCGGGATGGGAGGAGCACCTTGAAGATCGGGGTAGACGGGCGCTCGGTTACTATTCTGGCCGGGCGTCGGCAGTGCGGGGTTCAAAGATGGGGATGCATGGGTGGACAATGGCGGAGCTTGTTCGTGGGGGTCGCTCATAGCCGAAGAATATGTCGTCGTCGGGGGATAAGATGGCTGCTGAGAACTTAGCGCGGTGCTCACGACGGCACTATGAGGGTCACGCGATCGCCGCGATGGTTGCGTTGACCGGGGCAAGTCATTGAATAATTGCTGCGGCGCATAGTCGTATTGCGACGTCGAAGCGGGGATTGGATGGGGAAGTGAAACATAAGTAGCGGAGGAATGGGCGGGTGTGTACTGAGGAACCGTTTGCATAGCAGCAGACGACATACCTTCGTTTACTGAAGGCGCAGCAAAAACAGATCGAAGGTGCTGCGTTGACCGTCCGAGACAGGCTCTCCAGGCGTGGGAGGCAGATGAGCGGTGTCTTGTCTATGTTTGACCAATCGCGTTCGGTAAAGGGAGTACGATACGTTGAAGCCCTCCAGAGGGGTCTATCGACTCGGCCAAATGTGAAATGTTGTCCTGCCCGCCCAATGCGCTCGGTAGATTCGTTTTTTTTATGGTTATTTACCACTTTTCAGTAACCAGAATGCCGCCAGGTTGTCCAATCGGGTAGTAAGGCTATTTCGAAAAGTCAGTTTGAACAATGGTTGGGTTCCGATCGGACGACCTGTTAAAAGAGCACTGACAGCAAGAGAAAAGGGGAGATGAAACCAGGTCAACGCCAATCGACAGGTCTTGCTTGCGATAGAGTATTGATGCGACGTAGTAAACACGCAGACACCAGGCCAAAAAGGAAGAACGAAGGTTCGGTAAAATAATCTGAGCAGTCAAGTAGAAAGACAAGGAACATAAAACGGGAAAAACGCGTCGTAAAGCAGCTCCCGAGTTCTCTCTATTTTCTCTTTTTATTCTTTTTGATTTTCTTTATGCCCTCTTCGTTTCGTTTGCAACCAGAATGAAGAGGAGTGGGCGATATCTGCACTGCAGAATTACCTTTTCGAGTTCTCCTCTTCTTCACAGATATCCCCTACCCAATTGGGTAACTCGACGGGAAGAAGGTATTTTGTGTCTCGAAGGAACGGCGATCGGGAAGACCGACAAACGCGGGCGGGAAGGGGGGATGGTGTTCAGCCTCCGAGGCGCGATCGAACCAACCCACTAATTACCAAGCCGCGCCTGTGATGGGATTGAAAGCCGAGGGCTATCAGGCGCACACGCTCAACACTGGCGAGAGAATTGACGAGATGGAGATATCGCTGCGACGAGGACCATGATCGACGAGAGAGGAAGTTGCAGCGCGACGATAACGGGGCTGACGAGGCAGAGTGGTGAGCTGTCGTCTTGTCGGAGAGCAGACAGGGGGCGCAGAGTCTCCTAAGGAAAGGTGGGTAGTCTCAGACAACGGTCGGAAACGAGACCTCGATAGAGGGAAAAAAGGAAAAACAAGCAAGAAACAGAAAACAAAGAAATGAAGAATTAATGGAGATGAAACAGGAAGGAAAAGGCAAAAAGGTGAAAAGAAGAGAGAAACACGGTGAAGGTAAGAGGGGGTGGATGGAGGAGAACGGGCAAGAGGAGGAGATTGAGATGTTCTGTTACGCTGTTGCTTGGACTGGAGACCGCACGGTTTCCCCGAAGCTCAAGTGGTTAACCACTGCTGGACTGGAACTTGTTCCTTTGGGTACACGCTAGGTTAGGTACAATAAGGTAATAATAATGCCAACGCAACTCAGCTTGGGCATAATGATGAATTAATCCTTCCTGGAGCACAAGGATAGAAACTCAAGGATGCATCCATCTAGACTCTTCAGTGATCCCTGACCTCTGAAGGTTTATGGTTGCTATAGTTATGGCGACTCAAGCGACCTTATTAACAAGGATGTGGTTAATTATCGTTACGCAGAGGTGAGGGGGACAATATCAACTCGAGAGTAGATTTCATAGTTCAGATCTCAGAATCATGCAGAGGCAATCTAGAACAGTCAGCGACTGAGCATTCCTGGCTGGCTGTCATAGAAGAGAAAGAATAGTTCCCTCAACGGCTGAGAATGACGATGTTTTGACAGGATAACTAAGTAGAAGTTACTTCTCAACCTAGCCAGGGCATCACAGCTGTATCCAACATTTGATAATACAAACTGATTCAGTTGGAATCGCTGTTAAATCAAATAGCCTACGGTAGACTTGAGTTCGGCTAATTACTGACAAGACACACCCAAAGCATCAATCAAGGACGCATTGAAGTCCAAACGTGTATCTACAATACCAAGAACCCCTTACATAGAAGCAACTGTGGAGAGGCGGCGGAAGTCAACTAGCCACATCAGAAGCTCCACTTTGGGTTCTGAAGTACGTACATAGTACTTGCTCTGTATGTAGACTGTCATATTCCACACCAAACTACAGTTGATACTTAACCATACTAACATCGTTGACTGATATATATAGAAAAGTAATCCCAATAACAAACACAAAACAGTAAACATAGGAGCTTACTACCTTAGGTTACCTCCAATTATTATTGCAGCGCACCAATAATAAACCCCCTCTAAATCAGGGGCACACCGAACGAAGCCAATGTTTCGAATCCTCGGAACGGTAATTTTCACTAAACCACTTTGGGTAAGGGTTTTGGGGATGGCCGATCGTCATCTGGAATTGTTTCTGCAATCTGCACTCCTCTGCAGCCACGGCGATTCGCCGCTCTTTCAATCAACATGCACTATCAGTGCCTGTCTATCTATCTTTAACTAACCACAGTACCTGCCTAAAGACTTGATATATGACATAGATACTTCTCTAGATAACAGCAGCATTCCGGATATAAAAATCAATCTATGTCATTCCGGACCAATGACATGAGCCTCGAATCTTGGGTACTTAGGTTTACCCGCTCACCTCAGCACACCAGCATCCAGACCCAGGGTAGTCCGTCACTATCTCCACCTCATGGTACCCGACCGCGTCTCATCCTTGGAACTTGGTATTTTGGTACCCAGGGATAAGGCCAGGATTTTACAACTATCAAGAATCGACCTCCCTAGCTGATAGTCTTTCTAGCAATGGCCTTTCTACGAAGTATCCAATAACTTTTATCCCTTGGATTGTTTGCCTTGAAATTTAAGGTTGACTGCCTTGATCCACTATCATTACTGGGATACTTGCATATCAATGTGCCTTGCGTACCCCCATGCTATTTCCTCGACGTCTCATACTAACCGAGGTCCTCAGAACAGAAGACAGAACCGGTCCTTGCGCGGTGATATCCAACATTTCTATTCCAGTCACTATGCTACTGCTTACAAGTATACCATGTAACCCGATCGTCTCGGTTCATTAAAGTTCTATCATAAAATTCATAGCCTAAATTGGCAAAACTAGATCCAAACCCTTGTACATACCAATCAGAATGTATCCTCTCTGCCAATCATCCAGATTTTGGACAAAAGGATATACAGAATCAGACGAAGAAGAAGAAAAATGCATGCTTCAAACAATTTCTAGCGCTTCCCTCCTGACATAGCCGTTCCGCCTAACGAAATGGTACCCGAAGCCCCATAAGCGGGAGGTGGTGTAGGGCTGGGAGACGGGCGTCGTGCGACGGGGTCTCTTCCGCCAAGCATAGGTTGGCTGGGGCCACCTACACTGGGAGGCACCTCGCCTCCATCACCCGTACCAACGACAACTTGTTTACCATCACGCATGTGTCCAACGACCATTCCCTTCGCGACGGATTTGAGAACAGCCTTGCGGCTCACGCCGGACGCGTCAATGTACACCAGGCCGACGTTCTTAATACCGCCAGTGACATTGCTGGCCACGGCACCGGCTTCCGCTCCATAGCGATGTGCAATCATTGTGCTGGCCGCGACAGAGCCAGACGTCAGCACATTGCGGGCACCCTGCTCGATACCATCCGCCAGAGTTGAGAAGGCGATCAAGGACTTGTTCAAGATCCCCGGCTTGTAATCACTGCCGTTTCCGTACTTATCGACACCCTTCTGTTTACCCTCTCGTCGGGTCAGAGAGGCACCAAAATTCTGTGCCACTTTACCAACTTGACCCACGGTTTTGGCGGAGAGATCTGCCGCGCCATGAGAGAGGGTGCCAATCTTTCGAAATCGGGCGTGGGTGGTCTCAGAAAACGTCATTGGCTTGGGATTGGGTTTTGTCTTCTTCGTGAAGCTTTCAGCTCCACTGGTTAGGACGTTGCCAATGTACGATGATCCTGTCACGATCAAGCGGGATGCCATGGCAGACTTCTGGACAAGGGTCGAGTTCTTATATGCCGGGTGACGAGCCACCTGCAAGTATTCTTCCGACACGTTACCGACGCTGATTTTGTTTCCCTCTCCCTCGGCAGGGAGCTGAATTTCCACCGGTCCTATTAGTCCACTCATTAGCAAACTCGTCAGTCAGGGACAGATAAAGGACGCTTACTCTTGGAGCCTGGCTTCACACCAGGTTGCTCCACTACTTGGTATCCTTCCATCTCCCCTACAACACTGCCATTCTCCTCGTCAACCAAAACAATCTTTCCATGTGCATCGCTAGAGGTAGCTTGCCCGGAGGAGACGTAGCCTTCCCCGGGAGCATAGCTGGCCGGGTTGTACGGAGCGTGCTCCTTCGGTGGAGGCGCTCGCTCGAGGAATGCTGTACATTGTGCCAAAATTGTTTCGAAGGTGTCGATATCTTCCTGCGTCACCTTATCGGGCCCGGTCCCAATTCCGGGAAATTGAATGCGAATGAACGCACCCGCATCGGGTCCTAGATCCCAACGAGGAATCAGATAGCTATTCGGCGGCTGATGGTAGATCTGGGTTGTTGCAGGAAGTGCAACATCCAACTCAGGTGGGAGGTGTAAGTGAAGATAAAAGTCCTCCTCTACTTGTCCGTCCGTGCCTCCGGTCTGAGTAGTCGAAGCGGTAGTGGGAACCATCAATAGAGAGAGTGTCTGGGGACCGGATGGAGTGAGCTCCGTTTCTTCGCCATTCTGGATATGGAAGGCAAGAATGTTATTGATGCTGTAGAGGAGTCTGGGATCATGGATAAATGACATTGCGACAAGCTGTGTCTCTGCTACTGCTCTATGGCTCGTATGCGGGGAAGCGATGACGTCGGTGTTCTAGCTGCTAAGTCGAAGGCACAAGTCAACAACTCAAGAACAACGGGCTTGAAAAAAGATTCAGAGAAGAAAATGGATGAGATAAAGTGAGAAGATTGAAAAGGATAAAGGAGAAAGGTAGTGGAAATTGCAGGATAAATGGCAAAAGTCTTGGTGTCCTGAGCGGGGGTTGATCATTATTCTTAGGACTATTAAAATAGACTACCATGCCGCCAATTGCATCAGGGCAGTCTTGGCACACCTGCGCCACATGATATCAATGATGTTGCATTGCCACAGACTCTTCCACATGTGACTGAGTTCCCTTGAGCCAACCATAATCCATGTGGCGGTGCCCGCTGTGTCGGCATTACTTGTCAGTTATCATAGTTCTTTGTCCGATCCCATTCTTTCAACCTGATTCTAAAATTGAAAATGCCTAGATAAGAATCCATAAGCATTAATTCGTTGTTCAAACCTTTAGCACTCACCGGAAAGCCTGACTAGTTGAAGGAGGAGTCGGAGTTTTCGAACGGCGCTTCCCCAATCCCCACGCATTAATTCGTAGTCCAGGGACCTCTATATTTGCGGGCGGCTGCAGATAGAAGAGATGCTGACTCTAGATCTGATATTCTCCTTCTCAGGATAACTGCGTGCTACGCGCTCAGGTCTATATTAAGAATAAATGCAACACTATGGCTTCTTTTCAATTGGTATCTGACATCCACCTGGAAGCTCCCCCCGCATACGACCTGTTCGACATCCCTTCGAAAGCGCCGTATCTAGCCCTTCTAGGCGACATTGGCTATGTCAAAGACGACGGCTTTTTTGCTTTTCTTGAGTGCCAGCTTCGAAAATTTCAAGCCATTTTCTTAGTATTAGGAAACCATGAGCCCTGGAATTCCACTTGGGCGACGGCGAAGGACAGTCTGAGACGCTTCTCAGATAGCATTCGCCAGAGGAAGGCTTCAGAAGAAAGTACAAAAGCCGAAAATAAACTAGGAGAATTCGTGTTCATGGATCAAACGCGCTACGATATTTGCCCAGACGTCACAGTACTAGGCTGCACGCTTCACTCCCAAATCACACAGAGCCAGGAAGAGCGCGTCTCCCTGTCACTCAATGACTTCTACCACATCGAGAACTGGGATGTAGAGAGCCACCGTGCTGCACACGAGGCTGATCTCGCCTGGCTCAACAACCAAGTCATCGACCTCGCTCAATCGGATCCGCATCGCAAGATCATTATCTTCACTCACCACAGTCCCACACTTGACGCTCGTGCAACTGATCCTGCGCATGTGAACAGTCCCATCACATCGGCTTTCGCGACAGATCTCACTGGGGAGCCGTGCTGGGAAAAACCCCAGGTGCGCTTATGGGCCTTTGGACACACGCATTATAATTGTGATTTTGTCGACAGCAGAACTGGGAAACGCATTGTGGCGAATCAAAGAGGTTATTATTTTGCGCAGTCAGAAGGTTATGACCCGGAGCTGGTGGTTAGTGTATAGTTGCGGTCGTACCGCGGGGAGCTCTGCTGTATAGAAGAGATCTCGTAAAACCGGTGCAACACCATCAACAGGGGAAATTTTCGATCTTTAAAGTTTTTTTGACGCAAGAACAGACAAGGATACTAGAGAATATTTCTTTTCTTTTCAAGATGGCCAATCTCGGGTTATACCATCGATCCAGTCAGGGTCCCTTTGGACAGCCGCGGTTAACCGAGGCATAATCGAGCTGCCTTTCCCCGTGATTTCGCTCTCGTCCTCCCCACATTCTACTCGGACTTCCTCTTCCTCTTTTACCTCTCTCTTCCCCTCTTTTACATCTTCACAGGTTCGGGATTATCGTGCTTCGGTTCTAAAGACTTACCGTTTGATAAACTCAACCATGGCATCTATCGCCCGTGCTCTGCGGCCCTTGTCCCGCACCGCTCCCTCCGTCCGCCTCGCAGCCAGACAGCCATTGGCATACCGACTGGCACAAAGGTACGCTCTACATTGACTTTCCTTGGATTTTCTACATGCGGCGCTACATTGTCTTGATCGAAATGTTCACATGTACTGACTTTCCAATCTACAGCACCCATGCTTTCTCTACCACGTCCCCGCGGCGGGACGTCGATCTCTCCAGCCTGACCCCAACCCCAATCACCCATCTCTCCGAAACCGAGTCGCTGATGGCCGAAACCGTCTCCAAGTTTGCCCAGGAGCAGATCGGGCCCAAAGTGCGGGAAATGGACGAGTCCGAAGTCATGGATCCTGCACTGGTCGAGCAGCTGTTCGAGCAAGGGCTGATGGGCATCGAGATCCCCGAGGAATACGGCGGAGCTGGTATGAACTTCACCTCCGCTATTGTTGCCATCGAGGAACTGGCCCGTGTCGACCCCAGCGTTAGTGTCCTGGTGGATGTGCACAACACGCTCGTCAATACGGCCTTCAACAAGTGGGCCGACGCCGCGCTCAAGAAGACGTGGTTGCCTAAGCTCGCTACGGACACCGTCGGTTCGTTTTGTCTCTCTGAGCCGGCGTCCGGATCCGATGCGTTCGCGCTGCAGACCAAGGCGGAAAAGACGGCGGATGGGTACAAGCTGAATGGATCCAAGATGTGGATCACCAACTCCATGGAGGCTGGGGTGTTCGTCGTCTTTGCGAACCTGGATCCCAGCAAGGGCTACAAGGGAATCACGGCCTTTGTGGTCGAGAAGGATACTCCGGGATTCTCCATTGCCAAGAAGGAGAAGAAGCTGGGTATCCGGGCTAGCAGCACCTGCGTGCTCAACTTTGATGATGTCGTCATTCCCAAGGGTAACCTGCTCGGAGAGGAGGGCCAGGGTTACAAGTACGCCATTGGCTTGCTGAACGAGGGTCGTATCGGTATTGCCGCTCAGATGACCGGTCTGGCATTGGGTGCTTGGGAAAACGCCGCCAGGTAAGCTCACACTCCCCCATCGAGCAAGATCCTTATTTGCTATCCCAACGTACCACTCACATCGATGACAGTTACGTCTGGAACGACCGTCGTCAATTCGGTCAGCTTATCGGAACTTTCCAGGGTATGCAGCACCAGCTGGCCCAGGCTTACGTCGAAATCGCTGCCGCACGGGCTCTCGTCTACAATGCCGCACGCAAGAAGGAAGCCGGTCAAGACTTTGTCCAGGACGCCGCCATGGCCAAGTTTTACGCCTCGCAAGTTGCGGGCCGTGTGGCCAGCTCCGCCGTCGAATGGATGGGCGGCATGGGCTTTGTCCGTGAAGGCATCGCCGAGAAAATGTTCCGTGACAGCAAGATTGGTGCCATCTACGAAGGTACAAGTAACATTCAGCTGCAGACAATTGCTAAGCTCCTGCAAAAGCAGTACACTAAATAGATCCGGAGCTGTTTCTCTTTTTTCTGTCCTCCCCCTCCCGTTTCCGTTACGTACATAGTCGGCGTAAGTGTGTTATAGGATGTTTGTTTTGAGCGCAGTGATGGGGGTCGGCGATTCGACCCCGACGGCAGAACCACCCCGGTGTCCTATTGGCAGCGCCTGCAAGTCTTCTTTGTGGAAGGCTAACGACGATCATTTTGCATGTATGATATCAGCATTTCGGCTATAGATAGAAGTGAGAACATTTTTTCGCCTCGCTTCGGAACAGAATGAAGCTGTCATGGTTCGATGATAAAGACTATTCCTTTTTCTTCGGCGCCGGAACTGTGGGCACATTTCGGTGTTGGAGAGCTCGTCTCTTTGTCTGCCTTTACTGTCCCGTCACAGTATCTTGGTTGTTCGTTGGAGCGAATAAAGGTGGGAACCGGCTCGAAATTGCTCCTAAGAGCCCGTCGCAATTGGTTTCTCGACGCCCTTTCACTGATGTACATGCCTCAGCGACGGATAAGGAGCATTGCTACCGGAGGCTTTCTGCAAGTGAAGCGGCTTCAACCTCGACTTCGACCTCAGGTGACACACCAAGTCCTCCGAGCATACGCGTCGAGCCTCTCTGGTCGAAGCGCTAGCTCAATCGACATGCATCGAGTCTTCTTCGACGGGAGTATTGAATATAATACTCAAAATCTCCCTTGATATTCGGGTGCCGGGTGGAAAATGCTTGGAGTTTCCGGTGAGTGAGTTCAAGACTGATGTGGCCAGCCGTAGCTGTAGCCATGGTTACCTCCTGGCTGATTTCCCCCTGGCTGATTAACGGGATGATGGTAGTGTTGCGAGCCTTGAAGTACTGGATACCCGCCGGCTGCCCGATCTGGTGGGACATCCGGCATTGGCATGGGCGGCTGGCTGGGTACATATGGCAAAGCTTGCTGAGGATGACGTAGAAGCTGTTCTCCACGGGCACTTTCCGGTCCGCTGGCTCGAAAGTACTGGGGGTATTGTTGGAAAGCGGGATCCGGTGCGTGGGCGACGTTGGTGTTGAAATTGGCGTGCGGGATTGCGTTGGGTATTGTATGAGGAGGCTGGGCCTGCGCCTCGAACCCGTAAGATTCGGCCCTGTTGCTGTAATCCGCATCTGATGATTCGCATATAGATGAGGACCGTGTCGAGCCGTACGTCTGCCATTCCTGCGCGACAGAAATCTGGCTCGAGGCGGAGAGGACAGAGGGCGCTCTTGACACCGGAGGTACGTTCAAGGACTCCGAGTAATGACTTTGAGGCGTGGCTCCCGCTGGGCTGGTGTATGATCCTTCTGTGAGGTCGAACCGAGGCTTTAGCAATCAATCCAGCCGCCATTTGTGCTCAAGGGTGCATGGAGCATGTTTCCCAGTCACATACCGGTACTGCTATAGCTTTGGTTACCTGTGAGCATAGCCAGTTGCTGCCTCAGGCCCTTAATCTCATGCTCTAGAGCAGCATTCCGTCGCATCACGTCGTCGAATTGCTGATTCTTGGCTTGGAGCTCAGCCACTTGGTTTTGGAGTCGCTCGATATGTTCTTTCGTCCGCTGACGAATGGTTCTTTGT